CTGGACCCTTCACAAGGCTCCCAGCGCACCCCACCCGCAGGTGACTGGACAGCCATGTTTGCCGCTGAGCTTCCATTTCCTCTCCTGACCAGGCCGGCCAGGCACTCCACGCCCCAAGCATGGCATTCTGGGATGGGAGGGTACCAGCACCCCGCAGGTACAGAGCCTCTGATCCACACTGAAGGTGGAAGACTTTAGACCTCCCCACCCCCACCCAGGGCTACAAATATCACATTTTGTGTGCAGGGACGGGGGTCTCCAGGGCTGAGGCTTCTCTGTGCCCCAAACAGCTCCCGGCTTAGAGTAGTGAGGGCCGCAGCCACGGAGTACTGGGCTTGGGTGCTGTGGCCAGGTCACTTCATGCATGGATCCCCAGGGTCTGAGCAGATGGACAAAGCTGGACAGTCAAAACCCCACAGAGACTGTTAGGGCAGGAAGAACCTTCCAGAGTCCCGGATCCAGCCCAGCCCTGCATTCACCAGGAGCCTAAAGCCCAGAGAAGTCCACCTTCACACAGGACATGGGTGGTTGGATAGGAGACATCAGACTTTCTCCTCAGTGACTTTTTGTGTGCCAGTCCTAGGACTTGAACACAGGCCTGAGTGCTGGCCCTGAATGTCTTTAACTCAAGGCTCTACTACTTGAACCACAGCTCCACTTCCAGCTTTTTGGATAGTTTAGTGGAGATAAGAGTCTCACAGACTTTCCTGCCCAGACTGGCTTCAAACTGTGATCCTTAGATCTCATAAGAAGCTAGGATTACAGGCATGCACCACCAGCACCTAGCTTCTCAGTGACTCTTAAATCTTTTTACAGTTCCTGTCTCAGTTCTGTGGGTGCTGCAGGGAGCAGGGACTTCCCACGCGGCCCCAAACACCATTTGCCTTGTCCCAGAGGCCTGTAGTGGCTATTTGTGACCTGGGAAGGTCAGGGTTAGCCCTATCCACCTGTCCAATCCCCAGGGCTAAATAAAAGACCATGAGCCATGGCTAGCTGTGTGAGGCTAGGGGGCGTCCCATCCATCCCTGGGCCTCAGTGTCTCCATCACCATTGGATGGAGACTGGGACTCCATGGCCTGGGGCCCTTCTGGGTCTCAGTCTGGAGCCGCCCTGGTGGCCAGGGCGGGTAGTGAATGGAAAGAGGCCTAGCTGCCTCCTCTCCTCTCCCTCGTGTGTTCTGGGGATTCGAGTCTGCCTTCATCTCTGCTGGCTGCCAGGTGAGATGTTCAGTAGGGCCTCTGGGGTGAGGGCACCCGGGCACCAGCTTTCTCACAGGAATGGCCAACACTGGCCACTGGAGCTCCAGGAGCAGGAAGAGGGGTGTGGGTGAGAGTGGGGTTCCCTGTGAGTCCTGCCACATGAGCCTCTGTATGTGGGAACTCTGCCTGCATCCATGTGTGTGTGTGTGTGTGTGTGCGTGCACGCCTGTGATTTGGGGCTGTGTATGTGTACAATTGTGCAGCAGATAATTTGGCCCTCACAACCACACCTGAGAAGGAGGTTCTCCTATCACCCCATTTTACAATGATAAAATGAAGGCCAGAGATGCGGAGACACTTCTCCAGCCGGTTACCACGTCTGCATGCAAAGAAAAAAAGATAACCAAAATCCGGATATAGGCAAAATCAAGATTGTGTGGCATACTGTACACAGAGTTCCTCAGCACCGCCTCTACCCCCTAGGGAACTGTCCTCTGCCTCTCTTAAGGGGGTAAATTAGATCTGACTACTAGCCTTTCCCCCAGCTCTGTGAACTTGGAGCAGCTGGTGTGGCGGGGCGGTGATGTCTGTCTGGACAATGGCTCTCCAGGAACGTGTCACATTGTGCAGAACTAAGCACTCCACCTTCCCAACTGACTTTCCTCTCCCATGGGTGTATGAGAATCTAGGAACCTCATTTTCAATGCTTATGGAACCAGTTCTCTTTCTGATTATTTCTCCATATACATAAACATAATATCTATAAATTATATAAAGTATGCTCTATATTTAAATATGTATTATATATGATTGCATGTGTGGAACAGATGCATATATCTCGATATAGATATGAAACCGAAGCCATCAAATGGATGAGGAGTTCTCTCCATCAGGCAGAGCTCCATCACAATCAGAGCAAATTTAAGGCACCAAGTGGATCTGGCGTCCCGGGAAGCAGTTATATTAAATTGGTTTACCTCCCTTTAAAAAATAAAAAGAAATCTTTTGCTGGCCTGGCGCCAGTGGCTCAAGTCTGTAATCCTAGCTACTCAGGAGGCTGAGATCTGAGGATTGAGGTTCAAAGCCATCCAAAGCAGGAAAGGCCATGAAACTCTTAACTCCAATAAACCACCAGAAAACCGATAAGTGGCGCTGTGGCTTAAGTGGTGAGCACTCGCCTTTTAGGGACAGTGTTCAGGCTCAGAGTTCAAGCTCCATGACTGACAAAAAAAGAAAAAAGAAAAACAAATCTTTTGCTGTTGACCCTTAAAACCTTTATCGTGTTGAGTCTCAATGCTCCCCAACCCTGCATCATGCAGCCATTGGTGCATGAGGTCTTAAATGCCCTTCTCCTCTCATTTTGCAAAGATACCCAGACACCCGAGAAGCCCTGGCTGTGAGTGTGACAGGCAATCAGCTAGATCCACATCCTCCCCCAGCCCTGACTTGCCAAAGGAGCCCAGCCCAGGGTATTTGTGGCCACTAGGTGGAGTGTCCACGACCAGAGGAGGGAGGACAACATGGAGGCACACAGCTCCTCTATCAGCAAGAGCCTGCCCTGAACTGGATTGCCACACAGCTGCAGCTCTCACACAGAGCAGCTCCCAGCAAGCTCAGGGCCTGGGCCAGGGTGGGAAGGAGATGGAGAAGTTGGGCAGCGGCAGAAGAGAGGGCCTCAACCATGCGCCATAAACAAACCCCAAAATGGTGGAGAGACATTGGGCCCGGGGCCCATGGGCATAGCAGGGGTAGAGGCCACAACTTCATCTGATTTGGAAACAAAATGGGCGAAAAGCCAAACTGAGTGTCTCCATGTGTTCTGCTTCATACATCTGGAAGTGGGAGAATGAGAGGCCATCATGCTCAGGTTACAGAGCAGAAAGGATCGGTGGACACGGGCACCTCAAGCAGCCATGCCTGCACAGCTTGAATGAATGCCTGGCGGGGCTCCAGGCTGAGCGGGCCTGAGAAGTCTCCGAGAGCCCCGTATGGAGCATCCTGCCTACCCCAGCACATCACTGCACAAAGGTGCTCTGCCAAACATGGCCTGTCCTTCTTAAGTGTCCTGTAGGACCACAAGGAGACTCCACAAGACGCAGACTCCAGTCCTCTCTGTCAGCTCTGCAAACAGCTGAGCCAAAAGGCCTGTGGAGGGGACAGCAGGAAGGGATAAGAGATAGCAAATGTGGGGAGGAGAAGAGAAACAAGTGGAGGGCAAGGTGCTCAGGGAGAGGGGAGGGCGAGGCACAGCTTGGGGTGGCCTTAACATTGGGCCCAGGCAGCACCTCTCCGGACCCCAGTGGTCTAGGATCTCCGCAAGTGGATGTTGGCTTCTGTAGATGCTTCCTTCAGCACCAACAGGCCACCAGCCCGTTCCTCTTCACTTTATTCCCACGCCTGCTGCTCCGAAGCTTCCTGACAATTCTAGTTGCTCTTTTTAGTTGCTCAGAATTTCTTTAAAGAGCTGGGAATTGTCTTCTGAAGAGTAGCTTGAACTTCCAAGGCTTCCGTGAAGAAAGAGACCTTGAAGAGCACAAGAGTAGAACTAATCTACCGCAGATGGCTGGGAAGGTGGCTCAGTGGTAGAGTGCTTGCCTTGCATGCATGAGGCCCTGGGTTCAATTCCTCAGTACCACATAAGCAAAAAGAAAAAAAGCCAGAAGTGGCGCTGTGGCTCAAGTGGTAGAGCGCTAGCCCTGAGCTGAAGAGCTGAGGGACAGCGTCCAGGCCCAGAGTTCAGGCCCCACAACCGGACCCAAAAAAAAAAAAAAATCTACTGCAGACTTCTGCCTTCAGGACCTTGTGAGCCATGTTTACATAGAGGTTCCACTTACTACAAAATAGGAACCTAACATTTTCTTGAATGAGCTTTACACTTAATGAGAATCTATAGTAAATGTCATTTTGAGAGCTGCATGTGTAATAGACAGCCCAACATACTGTGCAACAGACAAACCTAAGGCTTAGAGATGTTACTCGACTGGTAGAGTACTTGTCTAGCAAACACATGGCTGAGTTCAAACCTCAATTTTCTATTTTCTCTCATTGATTTCAGAGCCTGGTGCTTCCTAGGCAGGTGTTATACCACTTGAGCCTCACTCCACAATGTTACATCTTTGAATTGTTAAAAATCTCTCTGTAGGGGCTGGGAAGGTGGCTCAGTGGTAGAGCGCTTGCTTTGCGTACATGAGGCCCTGGGTTCGATTCCTCAGCACCACATAAGCAAAAAGAAAAAAGCCGGAAGTGGCGCTGTGGCTCAAGTGGTAGAGCGCTAGCCTTGAGCTGAAGAGCTGAGGGATAGCGCCCAGGCCCAGAGTTCAGGCCCACGACCGGACCCAAAAAAAAATTAAAAAAAAAAATCTCTCTGTATACATCACAAATTAAGTACTTTCAATCTTGTACTTTAACTTTACCTTGGGATATTTAGGGGGAAAAAATGTTTAAATGTATCCACAATTTGCTTATTGTTGGCTTCTTCCTTGTATCTGACATTTTTTTGAAGGTTTTCTAGAGTACACAACAAATAAAAATGCTCATCCTTTTCCTTTTCAAAAGTAATCTTTATTGTCTTTCCTTTTTACAAAAGTAGTACATGCTTGTTGTCAAAAGTTAAACATAAATATATTAATTTTGGTAATGACATCTTTTTATGTGCTGATCCCATGACTTGAACTCAGTGCCAAGCACTGTCCCTGAGAGCTTTAGCTCAAGGCTACCAGTTGAGTCACAGCTCCACTTCTGGCTTTTTGGTGGTTATTGGATAAGAGTCCCACAGACATTCCTGCCCTGGCTGGGCTTTAAACCATGATCCTCAGATCTCAGTCTCCTGAGTAGAGCTGGCGTGAGCCACCAGTACCTAGCTTGAAATTTTAACAATATGGATTTTCCTATCCAAGAACATTTCTATCAGTTTCCTTTTATTCAAGTATCCTATGGTGGTTCTCCATGGAGAATTCTAATTTTCTCCACAAATATACTGCAAAACAACTGTTTAATCCTTGAAAAATCTGCTTTTCTTGATGCTTCTAGGGATCTTTTCTCATTTCCTGATCGGTACCTGACATAAAAATTAGATATTTTAACTGGTCATCTGTCCTGATTGAAACAGGAAAGCCTTGCTGGAACTCCACCACATTCATTTCCCTCTCAGGGCCTTCCCCCAGGTAACTGTGGCAATGCACACATGATTCATTGTGGCATTTGCTTTCCATCATCTTCACCCCTCTTGATACTAGGCCTTTGCATCATTATGGACATTCTGATGCTGATTAAGTTGGAAGCTAAACCTAAAAGCCTTCCGACACACACTGCACACATAGGGCTTCTTCCAAGTGTGGACAGTTTGGTGTATGATACAGTCAGAACTGAAGCTGAAGCCTTTGCCACACTCCACACAGCGGAACGGCTTCTCCCCTGTGTGGCTCCTCTGATGTCGGATTAAATGGGCATTGACATGAAAGGCTTTGCCACACTCCTTACACTGGAAGGGTTTCTCTCCAGTATGGATTCTCTGGTGCACGATGTAGTCAGAACTACAGCTGAATGCTTTCTCACATTCCACACACTTAAAAGGCTTCTCCCCAGTGTGTATTCGCTGATGCCTGGTTAACTTGGCATTGATGCTGAAGGCTTTCCCACATTGTTTACACTGAAAGGGTTTCTCCCCAGTGTGGATTCGATGGTGATCCAGGAGGTTTCTTTTAGAGGTAAAGCATTTCCCACACTCGTTACACTGAAATGGTTTCTCTCCAGTGTGAATTCTCTGATGCTGCATTAGTTTGGCATTGACGCTGAAGGCCTTTCCACACTCGTGGCACTCATAGGGCTTCTCTCCAGTATGGGTTCTCATATGCTGCCGGAGCTGCGAGTTGCACCTGAAGGCTTTCCCACATTCACGGCACAGGTAAGGCTTCTCGCCTGTGTGGATCCTCTGGTGCTGGATTAACTTCCCTTTGACGCTAAAGGCTTTTCCACATTCGCTGCATCCATAGGGTTTCTCCCCTGTGTGGATCCTTTGGTGCTGAATGAGCTTCGCATTATTGCTGAAGGCTTTTTCACACTCTTGACACTGAAAGGGCTTCTCTCCCGTGTGGACACTCTGGTGCTGCCGGAGCTGGGAGCTGCACCTGAAGCCTTTCCCACACTCGCTGCACTCGTAAGGCTTCTCTCCAGTGTGGATTCTCTGATGTTGGACTAATTTTGCATTAACATTGAAAGCTTTCCCACAGTCATTACACTCATAGGGTTTCTCTCCAGTGTGGACTCTCTGATGGGTAATATATGCAGAGCTGCAGCTGAAGCCACTGCCGCACTCCTGACACTGATAGGGCTTCTCTCCTGTATGGGTCCTCTGGTGCCTGCTTAGACTCCCATTAACACTGAAGGCCTTCCCACACACCTTACACTGATAAGGCTTCTCCCCACTGTGGATTGCCCGGTGTGTGATATAGTGGGAACTGTAGCTGAAGCATTTCCCACACTCCACACATTTGAAGGGTTTCCCTCCACTATGAAGTCTTTGATGCCAGATTAATTCTGCATTGATGCTGAAGGCTTTGCCGCAGTCTGTGCACTGATAAGGCTTCTCAGTGTAGCTTTCTAGATGCTGAGTAAGCTGAGGGGCACATCTCGAGGAGTCCGCTGAATCTTCACATTTCAAAAGTGTCTCCCCAGTACTAGTTATTTCAAGCTTAATGAGTTTCTTCTCTAAGCCAAAGGCTCTCCTCACTCCTGTACACTCAGGGTGTCGCTCTCCAGGACAGATTGTAGGACACTGTAACAAGTTTGGACTCTGACTGGTGGGACACTCTTCTGGGAGGCTCATCTCATCTTTCACCGTTCCATCAGCGGTGCTACTGTTCTCCCTTTTCACACATCCTGCTGCGTGGAGTTCCTGCTGTTGCCCTAATACACAGTCTGCTGAAAAGTCTGTTTCCTGGGAAAAGTCTCTGTGAACTTCAACCAATCTACTGTCTTTTTCTTCATACATTTCCTTTGTCAAATTACTGCCAGTCTGGACATCAACATCTACTATTTAAAAAAACACACACACACAAAAAAAACCCAAAAAACAGAAAATGAACCATTAGAAAACATGCAGAAGAAAGAAATCCATACATGCTAACATGAAAAAGCATCCAAGGTATTATTAAATGGAAAAGTAAGATGAGTGCACAGAGGAGAGTCCATTTGTGCAAAGAAAAATGAGAAGAACTAAGCTCACAAGTGCTCTATGGCACGAGCTATGCTTTAGTTTTTCAGATGTTCTTGAGCATTTTTGCCCTGGCCAGCTTTAGACCCTGATCCTCCTACCTCTACCTCCTGGACTGCTGCAAACACTGCATGCCGTGAACTCACCTTGCTCACCAAGACAGGATCTTGATAACTTGGTAACCTTTTGCTTTTGGTCTGGAACTGCAATCTTTCCATTTCCACCTCCTGAGAAGCTGGAATTACTAAACTGGGACTACATATGTGAGTCACCACACCCAGCCAAGAAATGTATTTTAAAGATCAACTCTGCTGACATGGGCCTCATGCCTTCTGCCTTCCCCTTTTGCTTGCCTAGAGCTTATTTGATTCCTGACCCAATTAACATACAAACATGGATGGGATTAATGTTTCTATCTTCAGCTGAAATCATGATGGCTGCTTTGTGAACTTCATTCTACAGGCAGCTGCCTGTACATGCAAATACCTTTCATTAAGGACCTTAGAATATGATCAGAAATGAAGACTCCTGGTGGGCCCAAGATTTCCTAACTGACAATCTGCACATTTGAAAGAGTGGTAAGTGGGCCCTGAGTTCAATCCCCAGCAAAAATTTTAAAAAAACACTTGCATGGCTGGCCAATAAATAGGGCATATTTGTATGGTACTGGACAATATGTTCCTTACCAGTCCAGAAGTCCCAGGAACCCATTCCAGTTCCAGTGGCCAGAGGAAATGGACCCACCAGCTCATCTCCTTCTTCCAGCTGTGAGATCACAGCAGGTTTGAGAAGTGGAAGTCCTGGTTGGGAGGAGATAGGAGAGATGAGTAATTACCTACTTCTCAGACTCCTGCAGTGGGGAGGGTAGGTGAGATGTCTGGGAAAGGTGAGGGTGGGATGAGAAGGACCAGGAGAATGAACATGGAGCAAGATGGGAGAGTCTGCCCACAGGGACACCATTCTTTGCCCTGGTCCTAAAATACTCTGAAGACCAGTGAGATCCTTACAGTATAGTGAGCGGACCTGACGATGCCCTTTGGGAGAGGAAGTTAATGTGTCTAAAACACAGCTTCCCTAGGGCAGGTCAAAATTATATATATTATTCTTTGCAAAGTCCTAAGTTGGCACCAAAAGGGTTTGGGGTTTGCCCTTTTCAGCAATCTCTATAGCAAGGAAATTAGAAACATCCCTAGAAGGGTTCACTGAATAAAGATTACCAGACCCCACCATAATACAACAGAAAAGAGAGCTAGGAAACCCCAAATGGTAAAGTTTGAATCCCAGAAGGACAGCAGCCTTACCAAGGGAGGCCACATTCCCATAGTTCTCCAGCATCACGTCCCTGTACAGGGCCCTCTGTGCAGGAGACAGGCCATCCCATTCCACCTGAGTGAAGTACACAGCCACATCCTCGAAGGTCACCGACTTCTGAAACAACAGGTTCCTGCTGCCCTAGGGCCAATTCCACGGCTCAGGCCCTAAGTGAGGGGCACAGGGCAGTATAAGGGCATGGGGAGGGAGCTTGTGAAAAGCACAACATTAATGAGAGCTGAGAAAAAAAATCACCAGCAAAGTAAACTAGGGAATACCCATCTTCTCTCACAGCAGAAAAAGCACATACCCTTATTTGTACTCATGATGGTAACATAAATGGGGCTGAAAAACAAATTTATAAGCAAACACCCATAAAGCAATTCTGCTCTTTTAGATAGGCCATGCCCTCCACAGGAAGTCAAGATGGATCCACCAGCCATTCCTACTTCATCCCTGTGAGCTCTTGGCCCTTCTGTGCCTAACCTTAGACCCTCTCCACTGTCTGCACCTCACTCGTAACCTCCACAAGCCACTCCCAAACAACAAGCCTGGCTTCCATCTCACCTGCCATCTGTTTTCACAACCACCAGGGGATCTGGGCTCTGTTCCAGCATGGCCAGCAGAGGAAGCTCAGGGCCACCCAGGCTAGGAGTATCTCAACACACAGCTTCTTCCAGTGTCCTCTGCTATTCAATTTCTCCCAAGACCTCACTGCTTCTCTAGTAAGGTGCAGGAGAGAAGAAAGTACAGCTTTATGGGCCAGCTGCTCTTCCATCCTCATGGTGTCTCCTCTTCTTGCCACTGAGCTATATGGTGCACAAGCTGTCTGGCTCAGAGCTGATGCAGTGCATCACTCCCAGGCCCAATTGTGCCCTCCTGGCCCACTACAGGCCCTGGTGGACTCTCCTTGTGCCAGCTCAGCTTTCTGTAACCCCAGAAAGGGTTGCCTCTCAAGTCCAAATCCTGGCAGGGAATTGCCTCTCCGCTGCGATTTTTCTTTTGGGTCCTCAAACCTCTACCCACTAACAATTCTAGTCCAATCACAGGTATTTCTGTGAGTCCTCTTTGCATGGCCTTTGACAGGACAAGTAGCTTCTCTGCACAAAATTAAAGGCCTTCCCTGCATACCACTGCCTTTTTCCCAGACAGCTGGCATCTCCTAATTCATTCCTCAGCTGGTTTCAGCACCATCCACACAGGAACCCTCAAGGTTGTTCTTGATTCTCCTCTCTAATCATGTGAACTTCTACATCCTAAACATTTTTATGTCTCAGTCACTAAGTTGGATTCTTCCTCTTGAACACTGACATTCCTTGAGGAAGCTCACATCACCTGGACCAGCAGAATTCTTTCTGGAATGGTAACTTCATTTTTTAATGTCTCCTAAAAATTATTCCACACAGGGGCTGGGAAGGTGGCTCAGTGGTAGAGTGCTTGCCTTGCATGCATGAGGCCCTGGGTTCAATTCCTCAGCACCACATAAGCAGAAAAAGCCAGAAATGGCAGTGTGGCTCAAGTGGTAGAGCGCTAGCCTTGAGCTGAAGAGCTGAAGGACAGCGCCCAAGGCCCATGACCAACCAAAAAAAAAAAATTATTCCACACAGTTGTCACAAATCTCATCACACTGGGCCAGGAAGGTAGCTGAACGGTAGAGTGCTTGCACAGCATACATGAAGCCCTGGGTTCAATTCCTCAGTACCACATACAAAGAAAAAGCAGAAAGTACACTATAGTTCAAGTGGTAGAGTGCTAGCCTGGGGCAAAAAGAAGCTCGGGCCCAGAGTTCAAGCCCCAGGACCGGCCAAAAAAGAAAAAAAAAATCTCATCACATTACAACACTGGCTCCCCAGCTCTTGTATGGATGGGCAGTTATGAACCATGTAACTTTATGATCCTGGGCACATTACTTCCCTTTGCCTCCATTTCTTTTTGGCAGAATGAATGTCCAACATTCATCTAACTATCAGCTAACATCTAACAGTGGTGTTAGACCTACCTAAAACAGCACCTGGAGGACCATGCAAGAGCACAATATGATGGTATTGTGACTGTAGCACACTAAGCCTTAAAGCACACTGCCAATGTTACTGCAACTACAACTATTCCCAGCGGGGAGTTCATAGAGGCCCACAGATGAGTCTCCAGAAGTGTATGTAAAATCTGATTTTGGAGGGAAAGAGTCAAGGACTCTTATCAAAAACATGAAATCTGGCCAAGCAAGCTAGGTACTGGTGGCTCACATCTGGAATCCTAACTACTCACGAGGCTAAGATCTGGGGATTGAGGCTGGAAGCCAGCCCAGGTAGGAAAGTCTATAAGACTCTAGCTCCAATTAACCACTAAAATGCTGGAAGTGAAGCTGTAACTCAAATAGTAGGGCTCTAGCTTTAAGCAAAAAAGCTCAGGGAGAGCACCTAAGCACTGAATTCAAGCCCCAAGACTGGCACCAAAAAAAAAAAAAAAAAAATCTGTCTAGGCATGGCAGCATATGCCTGTAATGTCAGTACTTGGGAGCCTGAGACAGGAAGATTGAGAGTTCAAGGTCATCCTGGGCTACATGTAAGACTCTAATAAACAAAAACAAAACAACAAAGAACAGAAATGTAAGTTCTGAGCCACTATACCGTAAACTCTGGAAGCTTCCCAAGGACACAATGGGACATAGCCCACCTTCTTCTTTGATCCCACTCCCCGTCACCATGTCCTCTCTTCTTCACTGGAGGAGGCCATACTTCTGGCTGATCTGGTCCTGTTTCTTCTCTCGCCTGCCACCTTTGCCACTGACAATCCCAAACTGCTGTAAGTCTCCTCTATTTACACCCATGCACAAGGCAGCCAAGTAGGGCAGCTTCTGTGGTCCCATTTACTCAGCGCCCTCTGCTGGGAGTGCTCCTGCACAGAGGAGCAGAGACCTTCACTGTGCCTCCTCCCAAAAGGGCTCACTTTCCTGCTGCCTCCACCAGTCACTCGCCCAATCTCTGCCACTCCTCCACTGCCACCTTTCCCACAAGTTCCAGTCTGGGATATGGACATAGGTTCCAGTCAAACACTCACCAGCAACGTTCTCAGCTCTCAATCTGAAAGGGCCAAGAGAAAGACCTGAAGGACCCACACATACCACTCACCTGAGGCCAGGCTGTCAAGAGCATGGCCGTCATCATCAGGTCTCCTCACAGAAGGGTTGAAGCTGAGGAAAAACAGAGACAGGGAATTGAAACAAGCCACAGGAGCAACACAGACAACCTGAGGCCCAGGCAAAGGCATCCAGACAGCAGAAACAGGAGCCATCTGCTCACCGGCTCAGTGCCCACTGACTTCTAGATGCCACTGATGCCCTAATACTCGTTGCAAGAAACCCAAGATTTGACAGTTCCGAAAAACATCCTATAAAAGTGTATGCAAAATGCATGCAGAGCCTAAAGAACAATAGAACATATATCAGTTCAGTTCAAGAGATAGATGTTCTCAAGATTGTTTACTCATTTCTTTCTGTAAACAAGCATCATACCCAATCACACGGCAACGTGACACATGGCAATGCGAATTTAGGAACAAATACTAAATTATGCAAGTACCAGACAACTATAGACACTATATGTTATCACTTATATAAAGCTTAAAAACAACAAACATGTTGTTTACAACACACAGGCACATGTAATACCTTTTTATTTTTATTTTCGTGGAACTCACTGGTCCGTTATGTTGTCTTTATTACTGAAACTTTATAGGAAATCTGGAGATTGAACCCAGGCCTTGCACATACCAGGCCACCATTCTATCATTGAGCTACGCACCCAGCCCTCACTTTGTTCTATTTCCAATTGTCCTTAGCTATTCTTGGTTCTGTAACATCTTTCTTTAAATAAGCTATAACTAACAAAGTGTGACAGTTATTGGTGAGTGAAGAACACAGATGCAGCAATGTTCTTTCTTCATAGGGTGATGTGTTTACGGTGATGATTTTGCTAGTACGTGTGTGATTTTTTTTTAAACATACGATTTTACTATGTAATTCGGACTAACTTTGAACTCACTATGTAACCCGTGCTGTCCTTGAACTCTGGATCCTGTGTCAGCATCAGGAGTACTGGGATTACCAGTGAGCACTATGACACTCAGCTTATATTCCCCAAAACACACAACCAGGATAGGTTGGATGTGAAGTCCCAAAACGAAATACAAACAAAAGCAAATGAACCCAACTATATTTGTCAATGTATAACCAAACCACATTGAAGGGAGAAGTAACTCTGGAAAACAGTACTGGCAAGTAGGGTTCAACAGAAGACCTGTATCCAAATACTGTACCCTAAGCAGTAAATTTATTTTTTTCCTACGAGGATATAAACTAGCAATTCTGAAACTACTATGCCTATATTCTAGAGCCGATTAAGTTCTTTTTTTATATACTGAAGAAGTCGTTTTGAAGTCGTTGTCCTCTTCCAGCCTAGGTACTTTAGGGGCTGGCGTCGCTTCTGCCTTGGCCACGAGCCGGGCTCCTGCTCAGGGTGCCTGGGACAAGGTGTGCTTCTGCACACTCCCTCGGCCCCGATTCACAGCCCTGGCTCAGCCCGACAACACGGGCTCCTGCCTTAGAAGGCGTGGAAAGCCCCTGCGCGACCTCAACTGGTACCAGCGTGCGACAGCCCCGCCAGCAGCTGCGGCCCGCAGACACCGGCGCCCCGGCGCCTCCGAGGCCGACCCCGCGCGGCGGTGCGGGTGTGGCCTCCCCCGGGCGAGGCCAAAGCCCCAGGCCAGAGGACCCCCGGGCCCCCACGTGTTCCCCTCCCCGGACTCGGGACTCGGTCTCCACCACAACCGACCGGAAGGCCGAGCTCACCCAGGCCACTCGAGGAAGGGACGCGCTCCGAGCTCACCCGGCCCCGGGCCACGTACCGCGCGGTGCCCGCAGCCCCGCACTCACCTCCGCAGCCCGCAGCTTCGCGGCGCAGCCGGAAGCGCGTCATCAGGAGGGCCGAGCCCCTCTAGGAGCAGCGGCTCTCCTCTCGATGGTGCTCTCGCCCCGCCCCTGCGGCCCGTCACCAACCAACCCGAGCGCTTCTCCTCTGGTCCTTGCCCGCAGTCCTAACCAAGTAGATTCCGTGCTCTCTGCCTCAGTTGTCCCTTTTTAAATAAGTATGTTATTATATTCACTTTGTTCCTGCCATGAACCTCATAAATAATGACCTACAAACTCATGAATAATAGCTTGCATTTAAAAACTGTTGGCTTCAATGTAGTAAAAGAGAAACATACCATTTGTAATAAGCAATACTACCTTGACCTCTCTTTGGTTAAAAGCCTAATAAGGTAGTCCGCATTTGCCAGCACACATAGAATTTGAGTGCCATAGCCGCAAGGTTGTGTCTGCTGGTGTTTCCAAAAATCACAAAAGTGCTATCCAAAATAATAAACATCTTCTGGCCAAGCTCTGAGTGAACCACAGGGTGACTCCTTTCATTATACAGTAGGTTTATTCCTGGAACAACAACATACGATAAAACTGCTGGAAATTTATCCAGAAAACACACTCTGCATTTGGGTAATTTATAGGATTTTCATCTACAAGAACTCAAAGATTATAATATTTCCTTTATTTCTTGATATTTATTATATTAATAATTCAATATATATTATTTGAAGAAATACAGTATGGTAGACAAGGTCTTATTCACAAAATAAAGGAGCATGAGTTTAGTAATAAATATTAAGACATTTGCAAAATAAATGTAAAAATATTCAAGACTAAACTAAAAAAAGTAAATACTCAGCACTAAACTACCCGAAATCAGGCATTAATGAAATGTCACAAATAACTTTTCAATATAAAGAGTATTCTTGATTTATTATATGTGTGTGTCCAATGTCATATCAAATATAACCAAATATGGTTTACTTCAGAACTTGTGAAAATTATTCTAAATTGGTGTGGCTCAGTGGTAGAGCACCTGCCTAGCAAGTATAAGACACTGAGTTCAAACCAAAACTAAATCTTAAAAAATAATGGAGCTGGGTGCCAGTAGCAAACACATGTAATCCTAGCTACTCAGGGGCTGAGAGCTGAGGATTGCAGTTCAAAGCCAGCCCGGGCAGGAAAGTCCCTGAGGCTCTTATCTCCAATTTAAAAAAAACACCAGAAAACCAGAAGTGGCACTGTGGCTCAAGTGGTAGAGTGCTAGCCTTGAGCTGAAGAGCTGAGGGACAGCGCTTAGGCCCAGAGTTCAAGCCCTATGACCAACCAAAAAAAAAAAAAAAAGATGGAAAACTAGATTTACGAGGCAAGATTTAAACTAAAGGAAAGAGCAATGGCTTTAGAGGATTGCACACACCAGACACACAGAAGCCAAGGTCTCCAGAAATTTCAACAGGTGTCCCCCTCAGTAGGGGTGTTTTAGTGCTATCCAACCATAGAAGAGACTATACCGCTGTCCACGGTGCTAGCCCTGTCTCAGCGTGTGTCTGTGGAGCTCTCCAAGGTTCTCAGTGTGGCCTCAGAAGCAATGTTTTCCAGCCAGAGCCTGATCTCCAGACATCTTCCTTTGAGCTCAGAACACAAACAGGTATCACTTGATGGGCAGGTTCCTGCCTGCAGTTGCCTATCACCACACCTCAAAATCTAGAGGAGTCCAGAGATGAAATCTATTGTGGATACAAGTAGCCAAGGAAAACTCTTCTTGGAAATTGTTTATACCTTAAGGATTTCTACAAACATGTTATTTGACTTTAAAAAGTAAAAATACTTACTAACTTATTGATAAGAATGAATTATCTCAACATAACTTAAAAACAATAACACTATAATAAAACTGGAAACTTCTTATGCTCCAAATGTTTTATTTAGCCACCATAAGCCATCTTTCTGAGTTCCTTACATGAGCACCTAGCCATGCAAGCGTCTTCCCTCTGAATTTCTCTTTATGAGCTATAAGATTCTTTGTTTGCTAGGTATTTTTTACCAGCTACAAGAATCTGTTTGCTACATATTTTTTCTTCACATTATCTGAACAAAGTGCAGAAAGTATTATTACATCCATTGAACCTAAGCAGGTGGCCACAGAAGAGATAACACTGGATTTTATTTGAAGCTGATTCATCATGTCAAATTGGTCCAAGGCCAGCTGCA